TGTTTATGTGTTGTCATTCACTAGGTGGACTGTGTTAGACATCCTTTGAGGTGTCTGCCTAGCTCAAAGCAACTACCTCTCATCGAGTACTCACATTTCCTAATTCACAGGATAGGACCTTTCAGCCAAGCATCCCTGCGTCCCTCTGCTGCCTTCCCCTGCTCCAGTGCTGGAGGCCAATGAGGGCCTCACACATGCTAGGACAGCAGTCTACAACTGAGTCACATCCCCAAACCCGGCCATGTTTTGACTCTGACTCTACCCCCTTGAAAAAATTTGGTTTGCCTAGGAGGAATTTCCTACAAACTTGAGCTTTCGTCTTAGATTTTGCAACTGAAACTAAGATGGCGGTCCATTTTCTGGAATGGTGGTTATTTGAACTCTGAAACTAAGGTTGCTATTGTGGCATAGCCACCATGTGAATGAAGAAGGAAAGAAAGCTCTTTTGTAGAAGAAACAGATACAGTAGACCCTGGCATCTGTGGATATATGTTCCACGGAGGCCGCTGTTGAAGAGAAGGCACAAATGTTCAGAATGCACATGGCTCAGTGCTATACTGCAGATGCTTGATTCATTTTTGCCATAATGCCCTCAAACTTCCCTAAAGACAGGCCACCTTTTAACAAATCTTGAAGTTTCACTTAAATTTAAAGACATGATGTGACCTTTTTGGTTTGGGAGGATTACCATAACTTTGACCTTGCTTTTTGGGAGACACATGTTCCTAAAATTAAGGGCAAGGGAAACACTCAGCAGATTATACAATGATTTAAACACAACTGACAATAATGCAAAGTGGGTTCAGCTGCATAATGTGCTCATGGGATTTTTATGAAATTTCTTTTGATTATTAAAATTTATTATTGTCTTTCAACTGTGCTTGGCCAAAAGAGTGTGTAATAAATCTGTGAATAAGGCTGTCTTTCTGTACACAGAGAACATTAGAACAGTAGTATCTCCTTTTCAATGTCTTTCTTACTCTTCTTAAATACTTTGATAGTCCTTTAAGACCTGTTTTGGACTTCTGACCTCCATAACTATGATAAATTTGTGCTGTTCTAAGCTGCTAAATTTGTAGCAATTTGCTATAGCAGCATAAGACACTAATATATAGGTGGGCTAAAAGGCAGTTCCTGTGCAACATCAACCATTGCCAAATTTATCTTTTTTCCATTAAGTTTTTTATTGGGATATATTTATTATATAGGGAAGATTTATTGTGACAATTCCAAATAGGCTTATATTGTACATTGGTTTCATCATCCCCAGAATTCTTCTTAAGCAAACTTGGATTTTCAGTTTTATGTAGATTTGAGTTAAAAGAGTTTAGAACTGAAGCCAGGTGCTCAGTGGCTCATGCCTGTAATCCCAGCTATTTAGGAGATTGAAATGGGGAGGATCACAGTTTGAGAGATCCTCAATTTGGGCAAAAAGTTCATGAGCGTCCATCTCACACAATAGTGGGGCACAGTGGCATACACCTGTCATTCCAAGCTATGAAGGAGGCTGAGACCAGGAGCATGACAGTTCTAGGTCAGCCTGGACAAAAAAAGTTTGTGAGATCCCATCTCAAGGGAAAAAGTCTGGCATGATGGCATGCCCCTGTCATCCTAGCAATGGTGGGAAACTTAAAGTAGGTGGCTCACTGACCAGCTGGCCTGGGCAAAAAGGGAGACCTTATCTATAACCAGAGCAAAGAGGGCTGGAGATGTGGTAGAGCACTTGCTTAGCAAGTATGAAGCCCTGAGTTCAAACTCAAGTACAGCCAAAAAAAAAAAAAAAAAAAAAGATTTCAGAGCTAAGAGGAAGCTTCATGAAGAAACTGAGCTAAAAGATGTGGTGACTAAGGCTCCTTGGTTAGTGATTTGTTGAGGCAGGACAAGGGCCTGAGTTTCTCCAATGTTTCATCTGTGTACTTTAGTGACCATAAGATGTCTAACAAAAAGGCTGGGCTGTAGAAGGTACTCAATAAGTGCTAGAGTTGTTGTTATTACACATTTTCCTTTGTATTCTCACTAATATTTCAATTTTTGAAACTTGATAAGGAGAGACCTTGCAAACACATTAAAAATCACCAAAAAGCTACTAAGACAGTGAGTAAGCCATCACTAGCCAAAAAGCAGAAGAGGATCGAATCTAATACAGTAAGAATAATTCTGCCATAGTGGGGGATTATCAGATCTGAAAAGAGGGCTGAGAGTCTGAGCTGCACTTTTGACATCTAGGGAAACAAAATTGGAGTCTAGGACCTAGTAAAACACTTTTTGGGTCAGCACTTCAAAGTATAGCACCTTGAAAATAAAGACAAATAAAAATAAGTCAAGACAAAAGACAAGGCTGATAAAGTCAAGACAATAAATTAGATGCTACAAAAATGAACCTAATAGATTTTTTTAAAGAACCAAACAGGAATTCTAGAACCTAAAATTACAAGAATCCAAAGTCACTATTTCAATAAATGAGTTAACATCTTAGGAGACAGAATTGGTAATCTAGTAATATCAGAAAAAAAGCTACAAAAAAAAAAAAACCATAGTAAGACAGGATGATGGAAAAATTTAAAAGGCAGGTGGATATGTGGATGTAGTTCTAGCACTCTGAAGGCTGAAGTCCCAGCACCCAGAGGATCACTTGAGACCATGAGTTCAAGATCAGCCTGGGCAACAAGACCTCATTTCAAAAATAAGTAAATAAGAAAAAGAAAAGACAGAAGTAAAAAAAAAAAAAGGGGGTGGGGGAAGAAAAATAATAGGAAAAAAAATCTAATATCCAATTAACCAGAGAGGGAGAGAAAAAAGTGGGGACAGAAGCAATATTTGAAGAGGCAATGGCTGAGAATTTTCCAGAACTTATGAACCACATCAATCCATATATTTGAAAGGTTCAGTGAGACCAAAGTGTCATAAATAAAAAGAAATGTACTTTCAAATATACCTAGCAATAGAGCAGAAAACCATAATTTAAGAGAAAAAAAGTCCTATGAGCAGCCTGAGAAAAGGAACCAATTACCTTCAAAGGAGCAGTAGCCCCACAAAGCTGACTTTTCACAGACAATAACAGAAGTCAGAACCCTGGAATGATTTTTTGTGTACTGAAAGAACCTAAACTGCTTCTGTGTCTCACCTCTAATTCCATTGCTTTCCTCTCTTACTTATAAGGAGACCCCTGTGATTACTTTGGGTTCACCAGGCAATCAAGAGTAATCTCCCTATCTCAAGATCCTTAACTAAATTATATCCGCAGAGACTTTCTCACCTTGTAAGATAAAAGTATTCACAGGTTCCAGAAATCAGAACACGGTGGGCTATCACACTACCAATCTAAAACAATGCTTTTCACTCTCTGAGTGATTTTTTCACAATGCCACATGTGAAAGTAAATCAGTATTTCCAAGAAGCAGAAGACACTTTGCATATTATCTTATTTAATCCACCATCAACGTTCATCTTGGTGAGGTAGATATTATTACCATGATTTTAAAGATTTCAAAATTGAAGATGAAAGCAATTTGACTGAGGTCATCTAGCTGGTTAAATGTCTGACTAGAAATTTGTACCCAGAAAACCAGATTGGTCTTTATGAGTGGAACCAAGCTTTTTGCACCATAGCAAACTGCAGATGCTTTTTTGGCTTTATTGTATGATTTTGGGCCAGTCTTTATCTGAAGAAACACACTCTACAGTGGTGGGTTTTTAAATGGATGAAAGAAAAATAGAAAATGCAGGGAAGGTTTCAAACTGGAGAGATATATCTGAATAGCATATTGTCAGTAAAAGGCTCTGAACTTTATTGGCCATGTAACTCCTATGAAATTGTTGTAGGCTCCTGTAGTCTGTGATCAGGAGATTCCCAAATTTTTTGTGTCCTATATGGAAGCATCTAGGCAGGTGACATGGGGGTTAGTAAGGGAGGTAATGGAGTTTTTATTAAAGATTAAGGAAAGGAGTTATAAAAAGACATTGTGGGGCCAGGTGGGAGCCTGAAACAGACAGCTTTAAAAATCTACACTAACCTATGGAAAGGGAAGAACTTGGTTCATGAATGGGGAGGGGCATGGGTGGCCCCTGGGACGGAGGTGGGGGTGGTTGTTGTCCCTGGGCCTGAGTGTGAATAACCTGTATGTATTTGCAGTAGAAAAGGTTCTGGGAAACAGAATGTTCAACGTAAAATACAATATTAAGTCATATATGTTTTAAGAGTCCCAAACTTTTCCTACCTTAGCCTGCCTCAAAATCACTTAGGTTATACTAGACCTTAGTTCCCTCATCTGTAAAATGGGATGTTTGAACCTAAAGACACCTTTTTCAGTTTCCTTCCGGCTCAGACGTTCTGATTCTAGGAGAGAAACTCCTGACCTCAAGATACCCCTACCTTGCCGTGTATGTATGAGCTCTAAGATCAGGTAAGACGCACCTGAATCATGCCAGAGAAAACCGATCGCAGATCTAAAGAGGAAAAAGGAGGGGTAAGGGGCGGGAGTGGGGGAGTAAGAGGAGAGATGACCATGATTGACAGACAGCGGACCGTGTGCTCGCAACACGAGCTAACCACCCGCGGGTACCCTGCGCTTACGATGCAAATAAAACCCCGCTGGTCTAAAGATGCAGGAATCAGGCATTGAGGCGCTCACAGAATGCATCTAATCGTGGGCATTTTCTAGAAGCCTCAGACAGGAAAAGGGCAAGAAAAACTGAAAATGAAAATATTTTTTAAAAAATGTGCCAGAGGCACGGTGAAGACACCCCCTGGAAACAAGTGGGGCCCTCTGATAAGCGACTTGCGCGAGTAGGACCAGGAATTGTCCCCAGCCCCGCCCCCAGCCTGTTCCACACACACAAAAGAAACGGCCCGTGCCCTCCGCGGCGACCGCGGCGGCCCCTCAGCCCGCCGAGCACCAGGGCTGCAGAACCCCGGCCTCCCTGCCGCCCCGCCTCCGGCCTCGGAAGTGACGCAGCGCGCCCCGCCCCCGCCGCTAGATCCGCTGCTGCTGCCGCGGCGGGCGGACCTGCAGGAGAAGGCGGCGGCGGCGGCCGAGGCCGAGGGAAGATGGCGGACGGTGTGGACCACATAGACATTTACGCGGATGTGGGCGAGGAGTTCAACCAGGTACGTGAGGGCCCGGGGGGTCCCGCCGCCAACGCGGGCGGCGCTGCGGCCCGGACGCTGACCGGGGACCGCGGGGAGAGGGGGGGCGGGGAGGGGGCCCCGCGAGCCGGCGCGGCTGCAGACCGTGCGCCCTTGTTGCTTCTGGGCCGCGCCACCGACCCGGCGCCCCTTCGCCCCTCCGTTCTACCGCGTCGTTTTGCGGGCCTCGGGTCCTGGAGCGCGGACGCCGGTCTCCGTGCAGCCGCCGCCGGCTCCTCCCTTGCCGCCGCCTCCCGCCCCATTGTTGGCGGCGGCCGGCGGGCGCTTCCCGCCGCGCTAGGCCGCGTGTGCGCGGCGGGGAGAACGGGCCGCCGCGCCCCCTCCCCCGCCGCGGGCCGAAGGGGAAGCCCCGGCGGGGCGCGTGCCCGTCGCTGCGTCCTGCCCGGTCCCCGGCCCCCGGCTCGGCCCTGCCGCTCGGGCTCCGATTCCTCGCGTCGCTCCATTTTGTGTCGCTGTCCGCGCACGGCCGCCTCATGGAAGGCCGCGTTCACAGCCCTTTGTATCCCGCGCGCCGGGTCTCCTGGGCTCTGCTCGCGTATGCGACACGTTTTGGCGTGGCGCCCTGCGGCGGCTCCCCGCTCCCCGCGTGAAGGCAGCGAGGCGTGGGCGCGTCTGCAACAAGTCCGCCGACTTTGGGACCTGGGGGTGGCCTTTCAGAGTTGGGGTGTCTTTGAGGCGCCGAAGTGATGAGGCTTTATGGGGAGAATCCCCGTGGAGGAACATGGCTTGCGCTCCAGGGACACTTGGAGGCGCGGTGGTGGGCTAGAACAAAAAGATGGTGGTCCGATTGAAGGTCCGAGACTGACAGCGAGCGTCCCACCGAAATGCTGCGGGTGCAGCTTGCAGTGGCTGCGATCTGGGGTTTGAAAAGCCAGTTGTCTTCCCCGCTCCCCCCTCCCCCCCCCGCCTCGGGGGGACTGGAGAAAGTGAGGAGCCCTTTAGGTCCTCAGCCATCCAAGGCCGAAAGGACCCGCCGACTGCGGCGCCCTGAGCATCCTTGTCGCCGCGGGGCGACGTGTGAGCGCCAGCCCGCTGTGTTCACGTCTTCCTGCATTCGGTGCACCAGCACATTTTAAAACGCAATTATGCTTAACGGCCGTGCACCTAAAACCTTTTTTTTTTCTCCCCCCCCTTTTTAAAATGTATTTCCCAGACCCGTGTAAGAAGTTTAGTAAAATTCCATTGGTTAAAGTAGTCCTTCACCCCCTTTCATTAAATATTTGTGAGTGGGGACTCAAGGTTTAAAAAAAAATAGTTAAACTCAGACATCCTTACTGTTGTGTTTTTCAGGGCTGACTTTGTCTAGACAATTTCTGACTATAGGCTTCAAATGTTTATTGTTTCGTTAAAAACTGGACCTGTTTGTAACCCATTGTAATAAAATGTTAAGTTTATAAAATATGACTTTTATTTTGCTTGTATTTTGAATAACTTGTGCCTGAGCTGTGTCATTTTCAAATTACAAATTTTCCTTGAGTGCTACGCAGATTGTAATGCTTTCAAGGTCAGTAGACGGAGATCTCTAGGAAATTTCTTTGCCTTTTAGTTGTCAAGTGGGTGTTGCCTCACATTCAAAAGAGGGCCATAATTGCTAGTAAAGGATCCATTAAGTATTCAAGACAGTTTTCATTAGCTTTACCACTGAAAGAATCCATTGCTTTACCTTTCCAGGCATAATAAGGAAAGAATTGGGGTACCGTTTTTAGGAGTTAGGTTTTCTTCAGTTCCTTCCCATAAAATATTTTTGGACTTCTGCATACTTACTTTGAGGAGGGCTATCACCCTTATCCACATGGCTAGATGGAGTAATACTTTATCTCTGTGCAGTAACTAGTGCTAAGCAGGAGGTAAGAAGAGATTAAAATTTTGTAGACTAAATGAGGAACTTTGTGGGGTTTTTTTTAATGTTAACTTTTATTGACTTGCACTTATAACATTATATCTAACACATTGTTGTATAATTTTACCAGTAAAATCTTTTATGTTTGAATAGATTAATGGGAAGATTGTGATATTTTGCATGTGTTTGGCCTCTAATCTGCTTGCTGTGTTTATTCCTGAACAAAAAGTGGCCACACAAGGATTATTAGTCATTTTCAAAGTTTGTCCTGTTTTTAAAAACTGTCACTGTCATTGAAAAAAAAATTTTTTTTTTTTTGAAATCTTCCCAGAATTACATGTAACCACAAAATTATTTCTGGCTAATTTAATCCATACTCGTTTAGCTGGCGACCTTATTTCTTCTAGCTGTTGTAGTAAACTATGACTATTATTTGACTGAAGTTGAGTAAAATATTTTTCAGTATTAAATGTTAGCTAATCTTTACTAACTTTGACTTCTAAGTTACAGTAAATATTTTAAAAATTCTTTGTCCAATGTAAGATGCAGTTTTAATTATATTTGTGTACTTTTTAATTTCTGTGTAGTCATATATTTTCCATTTCCTACTATGTTAAATGGCTAAAGTTTTATGAAGCAATATTTATATTGGTAAAGCCCAGCATTAACTTATTTCAAAAAGTGTGAGGCATTCAAGAGTCTTAGAAGAAGACTCTTGTTTGGGAAAGGGGTGAGAATATGTTAGTGAAGCTGTATTACAATTACTCTGATTACTAAATGAATTTAAGAATGGGGGAATGAAGAGGGGAAAGGCACAAGGAACTTGGCTATTCTTCATGGGTGCTCTTTAGTTCTTAAATTGAAGGGTTTGAATGTCATCAAATTGAGATTAGTTGCTTTAGTGAAAGGAGAATTTCAGCTACTTAACCTGTACATGACTTGAATGTGGAGTTGAGCAGAAAGAAGTTCTCTCTCTCTAGTGTACTTACTGGAACTGAGATTTGTATTCAAGTATAGTGGTTGCTAAATAATAATTTAAAATATTCAGTTCAGAATAACACAGGAAATATAAAATTTAGATGGTCTGTGCCCTTGAGTAGTGGGTGAGGGTGAGAAACACATAATTATAACACTGACAAATCCTATATTGTAGGTACCACTGTTATGTATATCTTTATTTGTAGAATTTTCATTCGTTGGGGAAGGGAGGATCAAGAAAAATTCTGTGGATTTTCAGGAAAACTTAGGCTGTGTGTTCCTTATCCAAAATGCTTGGAACTAGAAGTGGAATATTTTTATAGCTTTACCAGTTGAGTATTCCTAATCTGAAATCTGAAATGCTCCAAAATCTAAAACTGCGAGTGTATCATGTTGGCACTGAAAAAGCTTTGGATTTTTGGGTTAGGGATACTCAATTTATACTTTGTGCATTGAAATATAGCATTAGATCTGCCAGGTCACTGATAGCAGTACTGATTTAGTAATCTGACCACTTAATTTAAAAGGATATAGAGATAGTAGCTGAAAAAAAAATTCACTTAGGAGTTGAGGACCTAGATGGTCCTCATCAGTCAACTTCATGAGTCACTTTGCTTTATATTAAGTCTTTATTTACTTTAGACAGTTATGGAAAATAAGTTGATTGGACAAATATCAGTGGAACTTTATGTCTGATAAATTTGTGTTAATAGAAAATGGTTTTTAAGATAAGTCTATAAGATCCAGAATGAGGTAGGTAGAGATTGATTCAGAAACATGAGTAGAGACGTTTAGGGGAGCTAGAACTCTGTCACTCAGTTTTATTATTTATGAGCATAGTTAATTTAGCTGCCTGTGAATTGTGCACTTTGTAGTTTATGTGGCATGTTTTTAGTACAAGTTGGCTTCCTTCCATTAGTTGAGCTTTTCACAGGGGTTGCAGGCTAATTTTAATACCTGCTCAGAACATAATCAGAAAGTGATATTTTTCTGAAAAAATAAAGTCAGCTCTCTGTGTCCATGGATACAACCAACCATGAATCTAAAATATTGGAGGGAAAACTGCATTTGTATTGAAAATGTACAGACTTTTTTTCTGTTCTTATTCCCTAAACAGTAAAGTATACCAGCTACATAGCCCTTACATTATATTAGAGATGATTTAAAGTATTTGAGAGAATATCGTCTATATGTAAATACAACACCATTTTATGTAAGGGACTTGAGCATCTGCATATTTTGATATTCTCAAGGGCATTGGGGGGATGGTTACCCGGAACATAAGTCCCCTGCTGAAACTGAGGATCTGCTGTTTGGTCTTATGAGTATATTTCTCTTTCATGGTGTAGAATACATTTTGTAAATCCAAAACGTAACTCCTCCCCCACTTGATAGTTTTCTAAGTGGAGTGACTACAATTCCACTATTTTTTGTTTAATAGGCTTTGAAACAAGTGGTCTTTGTGCTTTATTGATAGTAGCCTGTAATTCATAAATGGTATTGAGTGTAGTTTTAGGACCACACATTATATATCCTCCTTTAGAATGATTGTAGTGATTTAGAATGGTGGAGAATGAAAAAATTACTTGTTGAGTCTTTCACAAACCCTTAGAGCTGTTACTGGAAGTTAGATGTAAATGTATGGCTTTATTGATGATTAGCTAGCTCCTATGAAAAACAGGTAAGACTGGACAACATTTGGTATCTAAAATACTTAGAGGGAAGATGTTGAAATTTTCATGTTTTTGCCATTAACATTAAAGGTTATTTCAAAAGACCTTCCACATAATAGAACTCAGTGGTACTGTTGACTGTTTCTCTTTGACAAAGTAGAAAACTTTGTAAAAAATTTAGTAGGTTCACAGACCTCTTTCTTTGTATATGACTTGTAATAAACATTTTGCACAGTAATTTTTTTTTTTTATTCGGCGGTACTGAGTTTGGGCTTAAGGCCTCATGCTTGCTAGGAAGGTGCACTTAGCACTTGATCCACTCCACCAGCCTGCACATTTCTTACTTGATTGGGAACAAAATTGAATGTGTCTGTATTTTTTACATGTGAAAGATAGGCATGTTAATAATGAACCTGAAAAGGAAAGCTTACTGATACATCAAAAGAGTATTATTTTTATTCATTTAATTTATTTTATTAATGCTGTATTGGGGGTACATTGTAACATTTACAAAAGTTCTTACAAGAGTATTGTTTGGAGTTGCATTTTTAGTAATGGTGGCAAATGTATTCAGCTTCTCTGATATTTTTTCACCAAGTCCAAATGTATGCCTTTGGGACTAGCAGTAAAAGCTGTGACCTTGGAACAGAGTGAAGCAGATTAGTCCACATGGAGATCAAACCCCAGGACCATGGTCTCAATTAGCATCATACTTCAACCACTTGGAAACAGTACAACTACCAGGCAAAATGGCTGATCTGAATACTGGTAGAATAATATCAGTGTGGAAAATTGGTTAATATCAGTAGGAATTCATGGACTAAAGAAAATACTAAGTGATTGTAATGCACCAAGTTAGCGTAGTTGTAACTAATGCTTGTAAATTGATTACTTTATAAATATTGCCATATATTTACATCTAAGGAAAAACTTAACCTTTTTGTATAAGTGAAAGTGTAAATTTAAATTCTTTTAGTCTTTATCAGTAACCCTTGCATGCTTTTTTTTTAAATCACAATCTTTTTTTTTCCATTTTTATTAGGATATATTCATCATACAGGGGGGATCATTGTGACAGTTCCAAATGGTACACTGGGTAGATCCCCCCACCCATTCCTCCTTATTTAAAGCAATTGCAAGAGTTTTCATTGTTCTATTTCAGATATGTATGTGAAACCCATCAACCATATTCCCTCACCTTTATCTCCTTTACCCCCCCCCACTACCTATCTTACAGTCCTGTCTTTTGTTATTAATTCTAAAGTTAACGTTCAGAGGGGTTTCTTGAAGTACCCCTGCTCTGAGTACACTTTACTTTGGTGGTTAGTTCAACCCCTTCCATTACTCTCCCTTACTCCTTCCCTCCCACTCCTCACTAGTCAGAGCTTCCAGTACATATCACTAGATCCTTTATCTGCACAGATGTAATGTAGTTCCATTTTGTTGACTCTATCATTCTTGTTTTCTTTCTCTCCCCCCCTCAATTTCCATAGAGTAGTTCCACTATTACAAATATGTTCTACATATAAGTTTGTATATGATCATGTTTTTTTTTAATGTATGCTTATCTTTGGATCTATATGAGAGAAAACATGCCACCTTTGTCTTTCTGAATCTGGCTTACTTCACTTAACGTGATGTCCTCCAGTTGCATCCATATACCTTCAAACCATGTAGTTTTAGTCTTCCTTATTGCTGAATAAAACTATGTGTGTGTGTGTGTGTGTGTGTGCACACGTGTGTATGTATATATACACACATAGAACATTTTCTTGATTCATTAATCATTTGTAGAGCATCTGGATTGTTTCCATAACTTGACTATTGTGAACAGTGCTGCAATAAACATGGGTGTTTAAGTGTCTCTGTTGACTTACATTTCTTGGGTTATATGGCCAGGAGTGGTATCACTAGATCATTTGGCAGTTCTGTTTTTAGTTTTTTAAGGAATCTCCATACTGTTTTCCATAATGGTTATACTAATTTACACTCCCACCAACAGTTTATAAGGATTGTTTTGTTTGTGTACTTGATGATAACTGTTCTATGGTGAGATGAAATCTTAGTGTAGTTTTGATTTGCATTTCTTTTATGGCCAGGGAAGTTGAGCACTTCATGTATTATCTATTTGTACCTCTTTCTTTGAAAATTCTCTATTTAATTCATGGACCCATTTCTTCATTGGGTTGTTGATTCTTTGGGGTTTGAGTTTTTTGAGTTCCCTGTAGATTATAGATTTAGTCCCTTATCAGATGAATAGATGGTAAAGATTTTCTCCCATTCTGTGGGCAGTCTCTTTAGTCTAGTGACTGTTTCTTTTGCTTTGCAGAAACTTTTCAGTTAGATGCACTCCCATTTGTTCATCCTTCCTCTCATTTGCTAAGCCATTAGAGTTCTGTTTAGGAAGTTGTTGCCTATGCCTGTATGTTCCAGTGTATTTCCTACTACTTCCTGTAGTGTTTTCAAAGTTTTAGGCTTTATATTAAGGTCCTTGATCTACTTCGAGTTGATATTTGTACAGGGTGAGAGACATGAATCTAGTTTCAGTTTTTTGTACTTTGCATGTTTTTTTTTCTGTCCCCCAGGCTATATATTGCGATTAGTCTCTGCTAAGAAAGATGGAAACACAACTCCCTTTGAGATAATTCTACTTGACGGACAGACCCGATTGCAAGAGTTTAAAGTGCCTACTACTCATGGGAAGCTTTTTAGTATCTTAAGTGTACAAAACCACTTCCGTAACCGTACCACCTGAAGCTTCAGCTACACTGAAATTCATAATAAAACTTAACTCTCCTTTTTTCACATTTTTACTATTACTGCAGTTGGAATATGTTACTTTGTTTAAGGTGCTGGTGGCTTGCGTCTGTAATCCTAGCTATTCAGTGAGGCAGAGATCAGGAGGATCACAGTACAAAGCCACCCCAGGAATATAGTAGTTTGTGAGCCTATCTCGAAAAAATCCATCACACAAAAAAAGGTGTAGGCCCTGTAGTACCCCAGTACCACAAAAAGCCAAAAACAAAAAATCCATTTCTTAAGTTATTTGATACTTTACAAACAAAATCAGTGGCCTTCAGTGACTTGTCATAGTTTCTGCTCATTGCTAAAGATAGCTTTGTTCTTTGACTTATACTTGATGTGTTGGTCCCCTTGTTTAGTAAGGTTTAGTTAGAGACTTCTGCCTTATGGCAAAATTGGTTGTTGAATTAGTAAATTGGATAGCTTTTTATGCACCAGATTACCTAAAGATGATGTTAAAATTTTGAGGTCTCTTTGGCTTATGTGTATAAATGATATTTCCTCTTCTAGGTTTTTTTCTTGGAAAACTTACTCTGGTTCTCTCTTGTACAACAAAACAATAGCTATGCACTCTTGGGGGCTCATAATGGTTTCTCTGGGTCTTTTTCCATGTAATACTCCCTAGCACTAGTAGCTTTTCCTTATATACTGTTTAGATAGCAGTTCCTTAATAAATAGCGTATATGGGAGAGCATATGAGTTATGACAACTCTTAAGTTGTCTTGTAATTGTCTCTCTTTTATCTCAAATGTTCTGCCTCATAAGGGTAAAATAGTTTATAGTGATTTAAGTGTTAGACATTGAAAGGGAGATAAAAAATTGAGCCTTTTTTCTGCTACAGGCTTAGTCAAGCTTTGGTTAACAAAGGCATTTAAATGGTGTTGAATATTCTGCTGATGTCTACAATGCATTCTTGTGCTTATTTACAAATACCGAACCTTTGCTGCCATTTCTCTTGCACACATATCTGTTTCTTTTTTTTTGTTGTTCTTTCTTGCTTACCATTTAGGGATGTAAGTGACATCTTTTAGCATTGCTTTAGTTCTGACGCTCAGTGGCACTTTTACTAGATGCTTATTTGCATCATTTTTCTCTTCCTAATTTACTTGACTAGATATGTAAAAAGTCAAGTAAGCAAAGGGTTTTTTTCGATTTATAGCCTGGAGAACTATTTGCTCAGGCTGGCTTTGAACCTCAGTCTTCCTGATCAGCTAGGATTACGGGCATGAGCCACTGGCACCTGGCTCCCTAGATCTGTGTTGTGAAATTTTGAGTCACATACATAGCCACGTTTCTTCCTTTTTTACTTTGGCTCAGTTTATTATACTTTCTCTAAACTGGTAGCTTTCTCAGGGTTGATTTGTGGTCAAATATTAGATTTCTAATGGCTCTGATTTTTGTTTGTAATAGTCTTACGACAAATATTCTAATAGAACTTGTCTACTTGCATTCATATATTGTTAACTTAAGAATATTTTCCTTCTAAGAAAAGTTTTAGTTAAAATTCCCATTCAAGAACATGTCTGTTGCATAAAGTAAGAAAAAGACTTGTACTGAGTAAAAAAGTTGAATGAATTTGTATTTAAACCTATTCAGTTGTATTCTGACTGTTACATAATTTAAAGCATTATTTCTGTATTTTAGGAAGCAGAATATGGTGGGCATGATCAGATAGATTTGTATGATGATGTCATCTCTCCATCTGCAAATAATGGAGATGCCCCAGAAGATCGGGATTACATGGATACCCTCCCACCAACTGTTGGTGATGATGTGGGTAAAGGAGCAGCACCAAATGTTGTCTATACTTACACTGGAAAGAGAATTGCGTTATATATTGGAAATCTAACTTGGGTAAGTAAAATTATCATGAGTTAAATCATTGGCAATTGATTTTGAACTGCTTCAATAGTTAATATTTTTGTTCAGGGTTTTGAAGTAAAAATTTGAAGTTAACTACATTTGTTTTTCTGTATGTTTGCTTATGCACTTACAAGGGTAAAAACAAGTACCTTTCAAAGGGCATTAATTCCAATTTTTCTACCTTTGAATTTTGTAGTCTTTTCATTTTGTGATGGTAGATCTGCCAGCTAAATAATTATTTTTGTCTTCAGTTGTCCTTTTTATATTACTACTCCTACCTTACTTCAGATATTCTGTTTTTACTAAGAAAAATGTAGGGTCTCAAACTATAATTCAGAAGTGTAGAAGGAGAGAAACAGATAGGATAACACTTTTGGTTTAAAAACACTGTTCATTTTCTAATAAGACTTAGGTTTAATTCTGTTAAATTTAAAATCTGATTTAAGCAAACACTGCTGTATACTTTGTTTTTTTAGTTTGTGTTGTTCATGAGACTATGAGTATTGGTTCAGAGCCTCATTAACTGCATATCCAATATATCTATATTTTTATTAGCATTAAACCTAAAAAAAAAAACTCTAGAGCAGTCCTATAGTTTTTTACCTCAGTTATTATATCTAACTAGTAGTTTAAAAATTATGTATCTAAAAGTCAAAATAATACTTTGGACCCTTCCACTCCTTTAGTAGCATTTTATTAAAAATGTTTTTGTAAACATTTCTTTTAAAAATTGTTCTACGTAATTGACCAATTACTAGGTAATCGATCTCCTGCCATCTAATCTGAGCAGTCTTTACAGTATTGGAAACAATAGCAGTGCAGTTATGGGAGTGTAATACTATTTCCAGCCTGTATTAGTTTTATGATGTTGGACAAGTTGTTTATCCCTTCTCTATCTTGTGTAAAATGAGAATAATAGGACTTCCAGCATTTTAAGAATAGGCTCATGCCTATAATCATAGCTAATCAGGAGGCAGAGATCAGGAGGATCGCAGTTCAGAGCTAGCCCTATTTCGAAAAACCCTTCACAGAAATAGGGCTGGTGGTGGAGTGATGGAAGGCCCTGAGTTCAAGCTCTAGTACCACAAAAAAAAAAAAAAACGTTTATTTAAAGCCCATAGTAGGTGCTCAATACATGTTAGGTTTTTTTTTTCTCCATTCTGTATTCAAACAGAATATGAAGTTTTTTCTACAAAATATTTTCCTTTAAAGGGAGGAAGTGACAAGTCCAAGATTGGTTTTATTAAGAATTTAAAATCATAGCAGTTTAAAGCTGGAAGAAACCAGAAACTCTTAAGAGTAAAAAACTTATCTCTGAGGATATGTACTTCATAATTTCCAAAACTGTTATCAGGGAATGAAGTTAGGGTCTCATTTTTTTTTTTTTTTTTTGCTGTTTAAAAATTGGATTCCAACTGGTAGTAACTACTCTTAGATATGCACTGAGCATTAATTCTCTCTTATTTATCTTGAGTTTATCTTTAAAAACTAAATTCAAGCAATAAAAATCCTGGATATATCCTGAAAATGTCTTTGCAGTGGACAACAGATGAGGACTTAACTGAAGCAGTTCATTCTTTGGGAGTAAATGATATTTTGGAGATAAAATTTTTTGAAAATCGGGCAAATGGCCAGTCAAAGGGGTAAGAATTTTGTTTTCTTTTTTCTAATATAAGTCAGTAGCCATTGATTATAAGGCAAACTAACTTAGAACACAGATACACAAAAAGTAAAATGATATGCCACAATCTCACCATCTACCGATAAATCAAATTTTGGTGATTACACTTTATATTTTTACCAAAAGATAGTATTATAATTCACATGTTTTATATCATGTTTGATAAAAAGAGTAGAATATTTAGTAATAAATATGCACTTTGTTTTTAGATATTTTGATTGTTTACACTTGTGCCTATTATAGTGTTGCAGCAGATACATTTTTGGATTTTTTAAATAAATTACTAGATGTATAATAATGAAGAACATGCAAATTTTACATTGTCTAGTTCTCTAAAAATTTTATACTAAGATTATTTTCAAAATATGTGTAGTCTAACCACATTTTACCTTCTGCTCTAAGCCACATCATCTCTGACTTGAACTTTTGCAGTAGCTTCTGAACTGGTGTCCTTGCTGTCACTCAGTCTCTGTGGTCTATACTCTACATAGTAGAAACTTTTTTTTTTCTTTTATTATTCATATGTGCATACAAGGCTTGGGTCATTTCTCCCCCTGCCCCCCACCCCCTCCCTTACCATCCACTTTGCCCCCTCCCTCTCCCCCCCCTCAATACCCAGCAGAAACTATTTTGCCCTTATTTCTAATTTTGTTGTAGAGAGAGTATAAGCCATTATAGGAAGGAACAAGGGTTTTTGCTGGTTGAGATAAGGATAGCTATACAGGGAGTTGACTCACATTAATTTCCTGTGCGTGTGTGTTACCTTCTAGGTTAATTCTTTTTGATCTCACCTTTTCTTTAGTTCCTGGTCCCCTTCTACTATTGGCCTCAGTTGCTTTTAAGGTATCTGCTTTAGTTTCTCTGCATTAAGGGCAACAAATGCTAGCTAATCATAGTAGAAACTTTTTAAAGTGACATCAGTACTTATCTGCTCACCATCTTCAGATGGCTTCCTGTCTTACTCAGGGCCATTATCTCAGTCTACAAGGTGTTCTGCCATTCTTTTTTGGTCATATTAAGACTTTTTGTTGCTTCTCAAACAAATGCCTATGTAGAACCTCTGACTTTTTACTGTTGGTCTACTTTCCCCCCAAATATCCTGGTTCTCTGTTGTGCTTGATTCAGTATTCAGACTGTGTAAGTGTTCCCTTTCTTGACCATCCTGTGCAAAATAGCAGCCTTATTAATCTGTCTCTATTTCCTTTATTTTTTCTGTTATGTTATATTTTACTTGCTATTGTTTCATCTCCTCCCAATATATCGTGAACTCCTTGAGAGCATGGATTTTGTTCTTTTCACTGTTGTTATCTTCACCCCTAGAGTGGTGCCTGGTATAATAGAAGATGGTACCCAATAAATAATTGTTAAATGCATTGAGAGTTTTTTGGCTTTTTTTGTTATTGTTGTTGTTTTTGTGTGTGCTTGGTATATCAATCTCAGGGCCTTTTACATGCTAAGCAAACTATCACTGAGCTTTACCTCCAGCCCCAGTTAAGTAGTTTCTAAATGTTACCCAAGATGATCCTGGGTCAAACAGAATTTGTTGGCTAGAATACTGGATCTAGTGAAGGATAGTTTTGAACATTAGAGAGGGTTCTAAGCTCCTAACAGTCCACATCCCCTCCATAATGTAGAATATCCTAGAGTTGTACAAATTGGTAATCATTTGATATTTTTAAGTTTTTTCTTTTTTTTTTTACTCCTTATTGAGATATAATTCACATACCAGAAAATTCACCTCTTTTTACAATTCAGTGATTTTTTTTAGTGTATTTACAATGTTGAGCAACCATTTCAACTATCTAATTTCAGAACATCACCCCCAAAAGAAACCCTGTGTCATTAACAGTCACTCCCTGATCCCTCTCTCCTCTAACAACAACCACTTATGAACTTTCTACCTTTGGATTTGCCTATTCTGGTTATTTCATGTAAGTGAAATTACACAGTGTGGTCCTGTGTGTCTGGATTCTTTTACGTAGCATAATGTTTTCAAGGTTTATCCATGTTATGGCAGATCATTAGCAGTTCTTATTAGAGCTGAATAATATCTCATCATGGATGTAGCACTTAAAAATTAATTGCCCATTAGCTGATGAACATTTGAATTGTTTGCACTTTTGATTATTAAGGAAAAAGTACCTAAGATTATTGTGTACCAGTTTTGTGTGAACGTATACTTTTTTTATCTTGTGGTACTGGGGTTTGAACTCGGGGTCTCACAGTTGGTAGGCAGGAGCTCTACCACTTACCTACTCTGTCAGCCCTTGTGTGAACATGTACTTTTAATTCTGTTGTATATACCAAGGAGTGGAATTACTGGGTTATATAGTAACTTTGTTTAACATTTTGAGGAGTTGCCAGATTGTTTGCCAGAGGTAGCTCCATCATTTTACATGGTCATCAGTGCATGAGGTTTCTAGTTTATCCATATCTTCATCAACACTTGTTAATTGTCATTCTGATTATAGCCATCCTGGTGAGTGTAAAATGGTTTTGATGTATGCTTCCCTGGAGGTTAATGATGTTAGGAGTGTTTTTGTGGCAGTAAAAAATGAAAACAACCCAAATCCCATGAATCAGTGCGTGGATTCTTTTTAATGCAACATGTCTATAGTGGGATATTAGTCATAAAAGGGAAGTAATGATAAATGCTAAAACATGGATGAACCTTGAAAGATACGCTAAGTGAGAGAAGCTGGTTGTAAAGGACGACATATTATGTTGTTCCATTTATATGAAATTCTAGAATAGATCTGTAGAGAGAGAAAGTAGATTTAGAGATGGTGGATATATGGTTCCCTGAGGTGTGGGGGGGGGGTGGGGAGGTGGGGGAGTGGGAAGAAATGGTAGTGATGGCAAATATGTATGGAGTTTCTTTTTGGGAGTGATGAATGTTCTGAACTTGACTGGGGATGGATGTAAAATTTTGAATATACTAAAAGCCACTGAATTGTCATTTTAAATTAGTAATTTTGTATATTTTATTAAAAATAGACATAAAAGTATGAACTAATAGAGCTTTAAAAAATAGTCTTTTTTTTTTTTTTAAGATAAAAGTAAACTCAGTTTTTTAACTTTTTTAATGAAAGTAACAGTATTAATCCTGGTTCACTTTCTATCTCCTTCCCTTTAAACACCTTTTAGATTTGCCCTTGTTGGTGTTGGATCTGAAGCATCTTCAAAAAAGTTAATGGATTTGTTGCCTAAAAGAGAACTTCATGGTCAGAATCCTGTTGTAACTCCATGTAATAAACAGTTCCTGAGTCAATTTGAAATGCAGTCCAGGAAAAGTAAGCAATCCCTCTGAGGCCTTTTAAGAAGATGTCTGTTTTAACCAATATTGTTAGTATTTGTTAGGTGTTATACTAGAGAAGTCAACTTAATATTTAGCTCATTGGATTAATTTGATTTAATCACTGGTTATGACTATATCAGGAACCTGTTTCATTTTTCTTTAAACCCAGTACTATAGGGCAGTGTTCAAGTTCTGTAGTGCTGCCATTCTTGTACTATCATTCCCATTTTAGAGAAAGGAAGAACTACATTCTAATCCTTAGATTGAAGGAAAGCTTTATGTTATGATGGAGGAAAGTTAACTGATACCCAGATAATATTCATTGATTTCTTCTTAGCACCAAGACCTTTCACCATTTGGTAAAGTGGATGTAGAAGAGATTTATCACTACACACTTACAAGTGTTAGCATTTAAAGAGATAAGATGAAGGGCCATGTAATTAACAGAAATTCAAGTGGTTGTCTTTAAAAAAAAATATTTTAGCACTTAAGACTAAGACTGTATTACAAAATTTAAATGATCTGTGATACTGAAATTATTATTTCTATTGAAGAATTTTGGTCTTGGCTGCTGCAGAGTACTGGCATTTTGAAAGTAACTCATACCCAATGGAAATAAATTAAAAACTGAGTATTTCATGACTTCAAAAGAGTATTTAAATAGATGTGAAGTTTTCCTATCTAATGCTTCTCAAGTAGTTGCACAGATTGAAGGCATCTGCGAGTTACTAGGTAGTATAAATGAACTTTGAAGTAGAATTGTTTCTTATAACAGTGGTTACATTTCAGAGAATGGTTTTAATAAGTGCTATTTATGAGTATTTGAATGTTTGCAGCTACACAATCAGGACAAATGTCTGGGGAAGGTAAAGCTGGTCCTCCAGGAGGCAGTTCACGTGCAGCATTTCCACAAGGTGGTAGAGGACGGGGCCGTTTCCCAGGGGCTGTTCCTGGTGGGGACAGATTTCCTGGGCCAGCAGGACCAGGAGGGCCACCCCCACCTTTTCCAGGTAAAACTTCTTTTATATTATATGAATAAAATGTGTCTACCTGATACCTCTTTTCCTTTTCTCTTTTTTTTCCAAGTAATGCATTATTAATGTGACTTACTCTCCTTGTTATACTATTTTTGGAATCCAGGAAATTTGATCAAGCATCTTGTTAAAGGAACTCGGCCTTTGTTCCTGGAAACTAGGATTCCATGGCATATGGGGCACAGCATAGAGGAAATACCCATTTTTGGCCTAAAAGGTCTTTATTTTTCTCCAAACTTGCTTGACTTATATATAGAATATTTACATCCGTCTTATTTTCTTACCTCTTAAAAAATCCTTTCAAGACCATTTTTTCCTTGTTTCACTTTCTAGCTTGGCATCAGAGTAGAATATAAGGTGGGTGATTTCACTGTAAGAAGTGTGTGTATGCTGAAAGATGGAAAATATCTCTAAGTGTTATAAGATTTTTTAAATTAGTTTTTGTTTTAATAATTTTTCTTAAGCATAAATTGAGCTAGTTAAATTTGTAAGGATATCCTTTACCTTTGTAGTTGTTAGTATGGGTTTCATTTAAAGAAAAAGAAACATGGTCTATAAGTTATGCTTTGAAAGTGTAATATTGGCATATGAGTTTAAAATATCCTTATAATTGAAGTTTTTTCCCCTCCCCCTTTATTCTATAGCTGGACAGACTCCACCACGTCCACCCTTAGGTCCTCCAGGCCCACCTGGCCCACCAGGTCCTCCACCTCCTGGTCAGGTTCTGCCTCCTCCTCTAGCTGGGCCTCCTAATCGAGGAGATCGCCCTCCACCACCAGTTCTTTTTCCTGGACAACCTTTTGGGCAACCTCCGTTGGGTCCACTTCCTCCTGGGCCTCCACCTCCAGTTCCAGGCTACGGCCCCCCTCCTGGTCCACCACCTCCACAACAGGGACCACCTCCACCACCAGGCCCCTTTCCTCCTCGCCCACCTGGTCCTCTTGGGCCACCCCTTACACTTGCTCCTCCTCCGCATCTTCCGGGACCACCTCCAGGTGCCCCGCCGCCAGCTCCACATGTGAATCCAGCTTTCTTTCCTCCACCAACTAATAGTGGCATGCCTACATCAGATAGCCGAGGTCCACCACCAACAGATCCATATGGCAGACCTCCACCATATGATAGGGGTGATTATGGACCTCCTGGGAGGTAAGTTAATATGTAACAATGAAAATAATTTAATTAGTAAAAAGATACGAACAGTGACAGAAATCTGTCATATTGTAGAAAACAATCATTTCTGCCCTCCAGAAAGATGAGGTTTCTAAGGTGCTACTTTATTTCAGTTTAAAGACACTGGTAAAATTTTTTGATTAGATTTACTCTCTTTGTAGAGAAAATAGTGTATTTCAGTCTTTAAGCACTTACCAAAAACGTCTAGTATGAGTTGGTTTACACTGCTAATGGCTATATTAGTAGGATGTTACTGGTTTATACTGTTACTAACTTACAGAAAATCTGTTGAGTTACAATTTAAGGTTTATTTTTCTTTTGTAGGGAAATGGATACTGCAAGAACACCACTGAGTGAAGCTGAGTTTGAAGAAATCATGAATAGAAATAGGGCAATCTCAAGCAGTGCTATTTCAAGAGCTGTGTCTGATGCCAGTGCTGGTTTGTATATTTCTTCCAGTATTAATTCTTATTTATGTTATTAAGAATGACCCAAAAACTTAAGTATAGTTTTCATGATGGGTCATTTATATATAATCTTTTCATTTTCCCAAATCGTTATGTATCATTTATTTAAAAAGCATTAAAGGAAGCCATATGTCGGTGTAGTAGAAAGATACTAAGTTACTAAGTTTAGATTTAAATATTAACCTTGGTTTGCTGGTTCAGGGGCCTTAAGGCAGCTCATTTGTTCTTTTATTTGCAAAATGATAACCGTTATATAACGAACATGAAAGGCTTTTGCTTTTTGAAACACTTAAAAAGGAAAAAAAAACACAAACATTTTCTATGGCCATTTTAAGGTGAGCTACTTTTTGTAAAATCCCCAACATTCATTTGTTGGTATTTTGAAAAAAAATTTTGTTTGATGTCAACCTTTTTTCCTTTCCCATGTAGGTGATTATGGGAGTGCTATTGAGACATTGGTAACAGCAATTTCTTTAATTAAACAATCCAAAGTATCTGCTGATGATCGTTGCAAAGTTCTTATTAGTTCTTTACAAGATTGCCTTCATGGAATTGAATCCAAGTCATATGGTTCTGGATCAAGGTAAAACTTTCCTGTCTCATGTCTTTTAAGAAACTGCTAGTTAAAAAAAGGAGAAACGTGTGAGACTTTAAATTAGGACTTTGGTTTTACTTACTGTTTACTCAGAGTGAGTTCAGCTCTAAATGAAATGTCAGGTATGTGCTTAAAATCATTCAAAAGTTTCTACTTACTTAAAATAGAATTGTAAACACAAGGCATTGTATGACCTGTTTATCTTGAGGTACTATACGATATAGTCTTACCTTTTTAGCCTCATCTTATATACCTCTACCCTTATTCAGTATTCTCCTGCCAAGTTGGTCTCCCTTCTTTTCTCCTGGTCATAGCATTTGACCACTACCTCACTGAATGTTGTATTTGACATTCCTTTTGTTGGGAACTGTTTTCCCTGTCTGTTTACTACTTGGCTCCATATCCTTCATGTATCAACTTAATCTAAATTTTGTAGGGAAGGGTTTTTCTCTCGGTTGTCTGTCATATTATTATTTCATTTCTCTTTCATAGTACTTTCTATAACCACTTACTATGTCCATTCTCATTAGAACACATGTTGAATAGCTGTTCCTGTTCAGTATAGCCTGAGGCTGAGGGCTTGGCTCAAGTGGTACATTACTTGCCTAATAAACCAGAGGTCCTGAGTACAACCCCCCTCCCCAAAACAAAACAAAACAAAACATTGCCTGGTATAGAATAAAGGTTTCTTGAATGAGAGTTGTGAATGAATGAATGATGTTTTATAATAGATAATTTTTATTTAAATTAAGTAGTTTTCCTTTTCAAGCATTACTACTAACCAATCTTGAATTTTTTTTTTTTTTTTGTCTTTTTTTTACTGTTTTAGCAAACAGCCCCAGGGATAGGGGATCAAGGCAAGGGGGAGGAGGGGAAGTGAGGTCTCAGCCCCACAACCCCTCCCCATCCACCCGAAATTTTTGTATTTTTGAAAGACCTTTAATCTTCATATCATATTCTTAGATCTGTTTTTGATGTATTTTATTTGGAGGGAGAATCTTCATTAAGTTAAAGAAAAGAAGCTTGTCTGTGGCATGGTCTCCAACTTTATTATTAGCTTTTGGCCTGGTGTAAAGATCTTTGTGTCTGAACAAATTTGTCATAGCTAAAGACTATCCTATGTTGTCTTCATTTTAAGAACAGACAAAGAACTTGTATATTGAGCAAGTTGGCTGGCACTTAATGTTTAGTTCAGAAATACATGGTAAAAGTATTCTTACTTAAATTATTAGAGTTGTTCTTTCCTTTTTGTGAAATTAGAATTTCTAATTTAAATTAGAAATTTAAACAACAAAAGGCAGCTCATGAAAACATTTTTGTTTATTAAATTCAGTGTGAATACAATACCAATTTTTTCTACTGGTCAAAATTACTAAGCTTTTCCTCTGCCTTCTTTCCCTCTCCAGATACACATATGAAAGTTTTTGTAGAGTATAGTGTTCACAATAAGTCATATGTTGGTAATACCTAATACAGTGTAAATATTATGTAAGTTGTTGTACTGTATTGTTTAGGAAATAATGGTAGAGAAAAGCTCTGTGCATGTTTAGTATAGCTGTGGTCTTTTTTCTTTAATGTTTTCAATCCATGTGGGTTAAATCTATGAATCCATGGATATGGGAAGGCTGATTGTATAAGTGTAGGTAATTTATGTTAATAGGTGATAATCTATATTCAAGCCCCACTGTATGTTGAGTAATTTTGCAAATTTTATACAAAAAAACTGTATTCTAGATGTTCTTAAGCTTGAAACACATGCTTTGAAATTCTCCTTTACCTTTTTGTCTGTTCAGAATCTGTTTTAAGCCATGCCCAGTCCTTCAAGAATTTCTTTTTTCTTTCTCAGTACTGGGGTTTGAACTCAGAGTTTTGCACTCACAGGCCTGGTGTTCTACCACTTGAGCCATGCCCCCAGCAGAATTTTTTGCCTTAGATTTTTTAATCACCAAAATACATCTACTCCTCCATTTGCAAGGGATTTGTTCCAAGACCTCAGTGGATATCTGAAATAACAGATTAAAGTCCACATTGTCTTTTCCTTTTGTGTGTGTGTGTGTGTGTGTCTTTGTGGTACTGGGGTTCGAACTCAGGGTTTCTTGTTAACTAGGCAGGCACTCTACTGCTTGAATCATGTCTCCAGCCCTTTTAGCTCTGGTTATTTTGGAGATAGGGTTTCACTTTTTGCCCAGGTTGGGGTGGACCATAATCTTCCTATTAAAATAGTAATGACAGACACTTTTCCATTGGTCTGCAACACACCCCCTTGCTGGCCTGGAACAGCAATCCTTCCAGTCTTAGCCTCCCACAGTAGCTAGTATTATAGGAATAAGCCACTGTTGCTCAGCTCTTTTACATTTTAACTAAGCACTCTATACCTATAGCTTTTGCATTTTGAGGTGTGTTGGCAAAACTAGCGCAACTTTTTCCTTCACAGTTTCATGGGTTCTTAACCTGTAGACTTTAGCAAACTCAACATTTTTTTTCTTTCCTCATTAAGTCAAGAACTTTACCTTATCAATTAAAGGAACCATATCCAGATTGCCAGCCAGCAGCATTCTTGCACTTTGGGGTCATTATTAAGTAAAATAAATGTTACTTGAACACAAGCACTGCAGTACCATAGTAGTTGATCAGATAACTTTGACAGCTACTGAGGACAGACAGCATATACAGTTTGGATACACTGGACAAAGAGACGATTAACATCTCAGGCGGTTATGGAGCAGGATCATGAAAGATTTCATCGTGTTATTCACAATAACATGCAATTTAAAACTTACTGGATTTTTTTTATTTTCTGATTTTTCCATTTAATAATTACAGACCAGTTGACTAGGTAACTAAAACCATGGAAAGTGAAACAACCAATAAGGGAAGGACAATTATACTGAGTATCTTTTTAAGTTAATCCAATTATGGAGAGCATTAATCCAGTAATTTTTTTTAGAAGACGTGAACGATCAAGAGAAAGGGACCATAGTAGATCACGAGAAAAGAGTCGGCGCCATAAATCCCGTAGTAGAGATCGTCATGATGATTATTACAGAGAGAGAAGCAGGGAACGAGAGAGACACCGTGATCGTGACCGAGACCGTGACCGAGAGCGTGACCGAGAGCGAGAGTATCGTCATCGTTAGAAGGTGGGTATTCCTTGTTCCTATTATATTTAGTGTGTGAATTATTAAAAGTAATCATAACGCCAAGGCTGTTGTTTGTGCAGTATATATCTACATTTTAAATGGTCCAAGTATTGTTCTGATTTAATCTTCTGGAATCATCTGAAACAAATAACAGGTAAGCCATCACAGGTAAAAATTTACCTTTTATCCTTGGATATCATTTTGCTCAGTTATCACTTTCAGGTTTCAGATTGTAATGGCAAGAAAAATATTCAAGAGGACTCATTGTGTACTTCTAAAATCTAAAAAATGGGGATTCTTGTAATCATATACATTATTTGCATGTGATTTAGTGCATTTAAAATATAAAATACAGAGAGATATTTCACACAAATATTAAGTGCTTGGAGATAAAGTTTCTATCCTTCTTTGAACTAATTTCATTTGTCCCTAAAACTTTTTAAGACGAGCTAACACTATAGTAGTTAATAATACAAAAAAGATGTTTTCTCAGCATTGAAAGAACTTTATCCCTTAGCAAAACTGTTTTTAAGGAAAACTTTTGGCAACTGTTTTTTGTTTTTAAAAGAAAAGAAACATGCTTTATTTGCAAAGAAGATGTAAAAGTTATTCCATTAAAATGGGTACAGGGTACATAATATAGAAGTTTTAGATTGTGATGAACCATACGTCCCAAGTTAGAAATACCTAAAAATAATTTTGATGTTTCATTCATAAACCATAATCATTGTCTTTTTTTTCTGTATTTTAAAACTATTGTGTACATTCTTCATAAATTAAGAAGAGTTGTCTGTTTATGCTTCATTTTCACATGTAATTTTATTTTTATATTTGTGAACAACATTTATTTATGTGAAGAGTGCGGGGAGGGCACTATGAGGCTTGTGCATTTGATGCAAAGGTTATTCTGTAAACAAATACTTTTTCTTCATATGTTGTTGACATACCCAATTTAAATTAGGCTTGAAACAAGTCCCTTACAGGTAAATATTTTACGTAGTTATTTTCAGTAATCATAGGAAATTTAGTAAAAATTGAGTCATGGTAATTGTTAGTATTTAAATTGTAATGGGCAAAATTAAAAGCTTTATAAAGTGTATATAACTTTGTGACAGAATAGCAGGTTCTTTAACCATAATTAGCAAACAACATCTTTGCTGTTAGAAAATAGCCATGTAAGTGTTATTTTTATAGAACACAAATAAGCTATTACACTATTTACAATTTTAAGGGCTTTTTGAAATGAGAATGCCTGTTTCAATACTTTCTCTTGCATTTTGAACATGCAGCTTGAATATTTATCAAAACTTTACTTTTTATATAGTTCTCCACAAATTGTTTTACAATATTGGAATAATTCTCAGAGCATTCCTTTAATATGAGATAGAACGTCTTTCATAATTTAAGATTACTGAAATTGGTACAGTTTGGATGTAAAAATTGAATGTTGTATCATGTAAATCTAAACACTTATATTTTAAAGATGTAGTGTTTTTTCTCCACGTTGAATACATCTGGCCCCATCTTAAGAAAAAATAACTAATATCCATCAGTTGTTTTAGGTAGATTATGGCCAGGTTATTATTTGAAATTATTAGTTATTTCATTTATAGTTACATGTTTTTTAAGATTTTGCAATTTATCAACAAGCTTCTAGTTACTGAAACCATGATAATGAAACTTGAATATATTTTCAGTCATCTCCAAAATCAAATGTGTCCATCAAACGGACCTCTAAACCAATTTATATCCACATTTAATGACGGTTTTCTTAATGGTTTTAGTAAAACTAGCCCAGTCAACCATGTATATTCCTTTTGCAAAGTCCATTGTTAAATACATTGAATTCATATTCTAGTATTGAGTATACCTAAATATATAATGACTTGAGTTTCATTACATTTAGACATTGACTATGAATTTCTAACATACAAACTGTTGACATTTTTATTAGTCACTGATGTACTATACCAAAATTCCCACGTTTTGTTTGTACATTAATCAGAATTGAGTTGTAATATCGTTCTGTACCTTCATCCATGCAAAATTTTATAACCCTTTCCAGTGCAAAAAGTTCTGTTACCTTGGATTATTGTACCTTTGATATATGAAACAGTATTTATTGTGCAAGTAGACATGAATAAAGGGATGGGGACTGGGATTAAATACATTGAACTGAAAAACTTTTTCAACAAACAAAAAACTATTTGCAAATTTCATTGCCACCATAACAAGGTCTGTTGTTGACCTCTTTAGAAGTTTTAAAATATGAGTCCTTTTGAGCTTTCATGTAAATCTTAAATGGAATAAATGGAATAAGAGTGATTTGAAAGCTAAAGTGAATGTCAGTAGTAAGTTTGTATACAAATAAATAATGTAATATATTATTAAAGTGATGATGAATGGGTAAAGGGAAAGTTCTTAATTTAACTGGAAAACTTGATGATGTTGGTAAGCTGTTAATGTCTGTCCCATCTTAATTTTTTGTGTTTGAACTGTTGGGTAATGTTAATTACATTTTCATTTTTAAAATGTAGTAGTTTTTCCCAAAGCACTTAATATCTAAATTCAAATAGATAATATTTCAATGAGAGAAAATACAATATTGTAAATTTCACTATGTGAATACATTGTGCTTCATATTCTGTAACTTTTGCCTCTATTCTCAGACCACTATGAGCAAAATAAAAATGATTTAAGATTGTACACTTATTACAGAAATAGTTTTATTTTCATAGTTGAGTTTTCTTTTAGGTTGCATTTTTATCACTTGTTTGGAATAGCCCTGCTTAGCAAATTTCTGTTAACAATTCAATTTTTGTGTACTCTGAGGAGTAATGAAAGCAAATTATTTTTTAAAATGCTCTTTATTCAAACTTTACCTAATTTATGAGGTTTTACATGTTCTCAGATCATTACCCATTTCTTTGATAAATATTGTGTATGGGGTCTGGATTAAATAACTATACCTTCTTTGGCCTTAGGATTACTTCTATAAACATCATGATCTTGGATTTTGTTATTAATACACAGGATTTAGATGCTTTGCTTTGCTTATTCATTGTATTAATATGGGAAAAACCAAAAAGCCAAAAGGAGTAAAAGTTCATTCTTAGGTTATATGTAAGATCTTGTTTCATCTCCTTAGCAGTTAGTGTTACATTGACTCTTTTGTGAAAATTAAATTCTCTTGATTGCCTGGTGAATGATAACTGGCTGTAATATTTAAAAATTATTTTGTAACTCTTAAGTCATTTGAGATCTGCCTAATATTTCCCAGCTCTGTGTTTCTTTGTGTTTCCCATCTATCCTAATTCCTCTGCTTTTATCTGGATATGCTAGGTCTCATATCTTTAGCTTTAATTTAGTATTCCTTGTAAAATCTGACTACCCAGATAAATTACTTGGAGTGATAAGGCTATCTTACTTGAAGTGATAAGAGTGGGTTGGAGGTGATCCCTTGACTGGATGTATAGTGTGTTTTGCTCACTGTGGTTTAAGAATATAGTTTTATTTATAAATAATAAATGTTCCCTGTTTTAAAAAAGTCAGTGCCAGTGTGGTCACCTTGCTCTCTCACCTTCATCTCAGTGTGAAATTTACTACCATTCTTTTAGTTTGTAAATTAGATTTTGAGTAAATAATGGTTTAAATAAATACATGGTTAGCATTGTTTAAAGAAAACCTAATAACCAATAATAGTAAGAGTTCCATTTATACTATTTAAATTTATGAATTTACCCTTTGTGATAGCATGTTTTAACTCTTGAGAGTAAATTCTAAATAACAAACAGCTTATTTTGAAATGTCCATTTTTGTGAATCTTTTTTGGGCAAAGCTGTTTTTTTGTGTGTGCGTGTGATGGAGCTTATTTATTTATTTGATTGCTTAGAGGAATAATTGTGTGTATATTTTATAGAGTAATCAAATGCTTTAGTTGAAATGAGGTAAGTACATGTCTAGAGGTAGGAAGATGAAAATATGAAATGTGGTAGCAAGAAACTTTTTGTAAGCAACTACAATAAACATTTTTTATGTAATGTGTTCTAGTCAATATGAGAAGAAATTTTTATATTAAAAGGTTAACTTGTATTTACATATTTGTTTTCTTGCCCACCTCATCTTCATTACTGTCATTAAGAAGAAATTTTCAGATACAAAAGAAAGAGTAAACTTTATTTCCTTGAGTTAAAAACAGTGCATTTCATTATGTCAAAGTCCATTAATTCAATATAATAACATGAAAACTTTATAAAAGAACCCTATCAAATATATAATTGAATGTTTTACTTAAAAGTTTAACCACGAATTCTTAAATACTAATGCTAACAAATTTGCTTAGATAAGTTTCTAACAGAAACACTCAACAGTTTGAGTATTGATAATGGCTAGATCTTATCTCAAAATGCAGGTACTTCTCTGTATATTGGAATTTTGTTTAGTGATCACTTTTCAGACTTCAAAGCTGTAGATTTCATTTGTTGTCTTAGTTTTAATAACTGTTTACATAGGTTCCCTTTATAACTGGTAGCTAAAGCAAATAATTGTGTGGCTTTGACATTACAGAGTTGAACAAATGCTATTCTGAAAACATGAGCATTGAATGTATTTATCATTTTTAAGCTTCCTTTTGGTATCTTTGTTTATGTAGATGTCTGCTTAGACATTTGAGATTATAATATGGAATTGGATTATTGGAAATGGGTTGTATTACCTTCAGATTTTGCTTCCTTTTGAGACTGTAAAATTTGTATTTCCAAGTGGATAAATGTAAAGTGTTTAGAAATAGAAATAAAAACTTCTAGACTACCCCCCTAATTTTATGTCTGTATGATGAAAATGAGAGATTTATTCATAGTAAAGATCTATCTATAAAAATGAGGAAAAAGATGGGTACCTTAGTCCTTAATCAAGATGTGTTTTGCATCAAGTAGTAAAATTCTCCTTTGGAGTGATAATGATATATAACATTTGCATTATATGCCATGTGTGTTGTAGAAGGGTTGAATATGTTTGTTCGCTATGACTTTCCATTGTTTTTCCCACTTAATGATCCACTTTCTTCTTCATCCCTTTTAGCACAACAAAAAACTTAGCGGTAGCTGCTACTGCTTATTTTTCTTTTTTTTTTTTTTTTTTTTTGCACTAGGATTTATGAATTTCTCAATCTGTTTTTCAGATTAGAACATACGCTCCCTGGGTTGGGTGTATTTCATGGTAGGGTGCTTACTAGCTTGTGTAAGATCTTGGGTTAAGTCCCCAGGGCCCCTCCTCCCCCCAGTGCATACCAAGTAATGCAAATAAAAACAGTTGGAAGCTGACATTTTAGATTTTTGTTAAATCCACTAAATAAATATGATAAAATGAAAGTGCAGGGGCTCTCAGCATAGCTCAAGTATTAGGGCAGCCTAACAAGCACAAGGCCCGGAGTTCAAACCCCAGTACCTCAAAAAAAAGAGATGAAAGTGCAATAAAAAAGAGGAAAGTGCAATAAAAGATAGCAGTAGAAATAGTTTAAGTATCTCTTTGAAAAATATAGGCATATAGAAACTATTTAGAACAGAAAGGTTGCAATTGTAATATCTGTTTTTTTCTTTGCAATTATAAGATTTTTATTGTTAGAGTGAATGTGTATGGGTACCAATGCTCTTAAGATACTTAACCTAGTTAAAGGAGAAGGGACATAAGAAAATTTGTGGTTGTGACAAATTACTCTTAGTTGTAGAATAAAACATATCTTAAAATTTTCTTATGGCACAATGTCACTAAACATTGTGCTCTTTCAACTTTAAATTACTTTATTAAAATGCCCCTTTGGAATTTATATTTTCAATATCTAGTATTTCAGTGATCAACTTTTGTGAGCCTCTACCTGAGTTTGCATACACAAGTCAGCTTCACTGTTCTGGGGTTCCTCCCCCTACCCCCACTTTTCTACTAGTTTTCAATGAAGTTTGTCATTGTAGATTTCCATTTAGCTTGTTTATGGTTAGTTCATATTCTACGTTAGGTATTTCAATGTAGGTGGAATAGAGTGAAAGTGAAGTAAATGTTTTAAATTTGTATTGTCTAAAGATTTGTATGTGGATGTCATTTATTTAAATGTCCATACTAAGCTATTTATAAATTTTGTAACGTGGAGCACCATCTGATTTATAACAATTGCAGAAGTTCCTGTATTCTGTCAAATAAATACAGTTAATTTGTACATTTTATTGCATTTTATATTCAGTTCAGCATTTAATTGTTAAATGAGTTAATATAGAATTGATATGTGGGTGAATGAAAAATATCTACATTTAAAATCATCCAAGCATTTTTCATTTATTTTTGTAGTATGCATATTTTAGAAAGTGACTTCTGATTGTTTTCATCATTACAGAAACAGTAGCTGCTATATTTTCATTATTGTTTCATGCACTAAATTTAAAAAAATTACATTAATTATGCGAAGTAATGGATTTCATTATGACAGCCACTAAATTTCAAAGGCAATAAAGTCTAAGAAGAATGAAAACAGAATGTCTCATTTTGAATTGGGAGCGTTTCTCCACTACACAAGCTGCTACTGTTTCAGTTAATTCTTATTTTATGTTAGAATACATAACAGTTGAAGTAGATGCACGACTTGCGTATGTATAGTTAAGCCAGCATTTTTCTGTGTATTACGGGGAATAGCAAAATCTACATCACAAATTTTGACACATTACAGCTGAAGGAAGAGGAACACCTTCCAAGACAAAACAGTCTTCATGGGGGAAAAATGACGCTTGTCCAGCAGTTTGCTTCTTGTGATTGAACTGAACCTGTAAGGATTCATGGATAAACTGAACAGGAATAGATCTGAATAAAGCAAATCTGCATAAATGGTAACCAGTAGCTCTACTTTTATTTTTTATGTTGCTTAACTGTTTTATTTGAAGGAAACCTGTGTGATTTAAAAAGTTAATAGCTTTTGCAACTTTATTACTGGTTATATACATTTGGCCATTATAATGTGCAAGCAATTGGAAAAAAAGTCAAGTAAATGCTTGTTTTTATAGTAGTTTGTTCTTGTTAAAAAATGTTCATATGATAATGTCTGTAAACAGCACCACTTTGATTACAATAGATGTAGTGTTGTAATAAACTGTTTAATGGGGCTGATGTGTAAAGCTGTTCAAGTTATTTGATGTTTACACCTCAGGGAAAGTCTTGTGTTCAGCAATATCTAAAGATAATGTTACTATGACAACATTTTTACTGTCCTTTAAAAAAGCATTGCAATAGCGTTTTTGGATATGCATCAATCTAATCTTGCGTTCAGTGAATTAAACATAACTAATTAAGTGTCTCTTGCCCTTGATTTTGATATTAGAATAGGTGATTACATGGATATTTAATATTTCTATATTCTGCTTTTCTAGCTGTTTTTACCTAGTTAGCTTGTGACTTTGCTGAATGGTATGTAAACTTGTAAAAACTGAAATTTGACAGACAGCAATGCAGTCAATGTGTTAGGGGTCAAAAACTTGAGGTTTTTAACATTTTAGTAAAAATTCCTATGTATTTGCTACAGTAGTGCAGCTTAACTACAGCACAGATGTACTGAGACACTTCATTGTGAACTGCTAGCATTGAAGAGAGACTTTGATAATTACGACTTGATGCTGCCGTGATTTGCTGTTTCTTATTGATGGTGCTTATGGTTTAGTTTTGAGCCATAGGCAGTAAATACAGCCATGCAGCAGGTAATGTGAGTAAAGAGAGCCTTAGCTTTATTTTCCAGTTGGTATAGATTTCTGAAGGATGTGATGTTTATTGGGTTTTTTCCTACAGTATGAGTAATGGGAGATTTAGTTTGTACCCTGTCACTACACAAGGAATTCTAAGTATGTTCATGCAACCTGTTGATTCATGCTAGGTTAAAAGTTGCTTTCTTTTTTTTTCCTTTCAAACCTGCCTTATATAAAGGCCTATGTTAAAGTACCTGGCTAGCATGTATTCTTTATTGCAAGATTAGCAGAGCTAGAATGTCAATTTGGTGAGGTATTTTTTTATGAGACAGTAATTCTGAATCACTACTTAGGAAATTTGAGTTAAAATCTCTAAGCAAGTCAGTTTGTTTTTAATATATTTTAAGATCCAATTATGAGAGATCTTCTGATTGTACCCATTGGTTTTTAAAATTCGGCGAATTTTAGGACACGCTTAAAGTGTTTGGATACTCTATTATATGTATTGTGCAACTGTAGAAGCCCTCCAGAGATTTGCACTGCCATTCTTCAGTTGCATTTGTCTGTTATCAAACTACTTACAAAAATAGCTGTTTCAAGTTACCCATATTACTGCCAGTTTTATTTGAAAACATTTTGTGATTGAAGTATTTGTGCCTGGGATCATTGGTGTTTATCAGAACTGTTTGCTCTCAGAAATGATTTTAAAGTGTTTATCTTGTTGGAAATGCACTTGTCTTTTTTTATAACATTTGAGAGTTGTATCAAAATCTGTTTTCTTGTTTTGTGTATAGGTATTTGTAAGTTTTTGTCATTTCTTAGTTTTTTTATAGTTTAAATACAATACCCCAATGTGAAGAAGTTTGGACATACATATATTACAAAGGAGATTAGTTAATAGTAAGGTTAAAAGGTAAGTAAAATGTCCATGAGAATAAATTTTCTCTGAGCAAGTTTAAAATGGAATCATAAAAAACTATACTTGAAGTGAAACTGGAAATTTTGTACTAATTTAATCTTTTATTTTACCTTTTCTTTTTTTTTTAATCAGTGGAACCCTTTAATTGTTTTATATCACTCTTCTCTTTACCTGGCTGATTTCATTAAGTGACTTTGTTTGCAGACAGTGTGAGCACACTAGAATTGTTTGCTGCTAGTCCATTATTCTGATTGTTGTCAGGAAGAAATAACTTTTTACTTTGACCAAGTAATTTTGCAAAGTCCTCTACCTGGTAACTCATGAATGTATAGTAGAAAAGGTAAAAAGTTGCCAACCTTGTTTTATTCATTATACCCCTTCTGTGTAAGACCCAACGCTATTTGAAAACTTCTTTTAATGTCTAAAAACAGTCCAAAGAGATAGTTGTACAAAGACACCCCTCCCAAAAAAGAGATATCTTTTTATTTTCTAATTTACAATTACTAGTGGATGTTAAAACTTGAGTTTATTTTTGAGTCATAGCATTTATTAGTGCTATGCAGTCACATTCCTTTCAGCTAGTAAAGTTGCAGATGAGTGATACAGCACCCACGTGGTATTGTTTCTGAAGTAGCATTATGAATTGAATATGCTGCTTTTTGTTAAAAGAAGTGTGTTATGGAAAGGATATTTGAATGTAAATTTACAAGTGTCTGTTTTGGTTTATTTTCATGAGCATGATTTGGAGTCATTCGCTGTGGCTGTTGATCATCGTTAGCCCATTTAATGGCTCCTTTACTTAGAATATTTTGAAGCAGTTCACTACAATTTGGAGTTCACAAGTACTTGTAGCTTAAGGCATTGTTTTCATTTGATTCTCCTATGGAGAGTGTTACTTTAGTTTTTACTAGTTTAAGGTCAGATCTAAAAATAAACATGGAGGTTTTAATGAATGTTGTATAATATTTTATAGTGAAAGGGAATATTGTTGAAAGGGTAAAGACTTTCTCTTTCCCTTAATGTGTTTTAATGTGCCAATAACCTAAATACATGTTGTTTTATATAATGAGATGGTACTAAAAGACTTTTTCTGTTAGAGTGCTCTCCACATTTTTGTTTTCTTATCTGAATGGTCATTGCATTTTCTGTATCATAAGGTGGTTCCAATTTTGTGTTTTAAGCTTCAGCTTAAGTTATTTTAAGAGGAAGTTTATGTTCTTACTCTTTGAGAATACACTATTGAGATTCTCACTGTTACAGATAACTGCTTTTTAAATTTTACTCATCAAGTTCATTTGCATCCCATAGCTCTGTAAATGTTTTCCCCAGTTGTGTGTACTTAAAATGCACGTTTATCCATTGTACATATTAGACTTTTTTTGTGCTAAAATATATTAAGTGGGATTTTTGTAGCAAAGCATTCTATTTTTCTGTTCTTACAGTTTTCTTTTTAACGTTTACCTTCAGTTGAAACACTGGTGTATTTTATTTTTTAGCAACTTGACTCTTAGAAGCCTTAGACTAACATTTAAATAAACATTTAACCAAAAATTATGAATTTATTAAGATGTGGCCTTACATATGACATTCCTTGTGTTTATAATGTGCAGGTTTTTCATTTAGAGAAATCAAGATTCTGGATTAAAGTCTCATTTTAAGTCAAAATAGAAAATGTGTTAAATGTCTAGGCTTCTGGGAGGAAGTTCTTATCCTCTTCTTTCTTAGCATTAGAAAGAAGCAATATGAATTTTTATGAATATTCAAAATATTCAGGCAGTTGTATCCTGTTCAGATTGATTGAGATTTGTTTTAACCAATGTTTCTTTAAAATTTCAGGTTGTTGACTTTCACTGATTATACCACACACCATTACCATGGTTTTTATATGGGACGTATAAACACTTGGTTACATATAGACAGATTTGAATGTTTTAAAGACTTCCTGCTACATTAATTAATGCATTGTAATGGGAGGCTTTTAAAACATTAGATAGTATTTAACTGAAGTCACACAAATCTTGAAATGGTATCTGCGGATAGTAAATACTACCAAGAGTTTTGCATGTGGGAGTATCATAAAACTCCACCATGGGTGTAAATGTTTTACATTAATTTCATAATTGGACAGACCCAGCATTTAGTAAAAACATTTTGTTTTGAAGGTGTGTTCTTTGTCGCACTGTTACTGCGTAACATTTCTCAACATTCTGTAAGCTAAATTATTTAAAAATACAATGGTAAACCATGTTTATTTATTTTTTTACTTTGAAAATTGTAGTACTCAGGTGGTATTTAATGGGAAATGATCCTTTTGGGGTAAATCATAATGTATTCTAAGGAATGCATCTATAACATTGACTTTAGCCTTAAAAAAAGGTCTATTCCTCTTCCTCTGCATCCCATGGCATATTAGCAAAGTAGTTTACAGCCCAGTATAGCCTTACAAAGTTGTTTTACAATTTTTAATGAAAAGCCCTTAACAAAAACAAAAAATTGTATCATATTAGCAGTATCCACGAATTACTGAGTCACACTTTGTAAATAATTTGTCTTAATATCTGAAGGCCAAAGAAAGTCTTAAAAATTTTAGCTATTGACAGTGGTGACTTCATACTAAGATTTCTGTGCAAAAGGTAAGATGATATTTGATCAAGTAGACATCTTTTTGTCCATGAGAACTAGACTTCCATATTAGCTTCTTTTAAAAAGCTCATTCCCATTTTATTAAAATGTTTGTAATTGCAATTTTGTGTTTAATGTTTACTTTGTCTTTTCTTTCTTTAGCATTTAGGTGACTGTTCAGCAGTTTGCTATATGGCCATTGTTGGCCTTAAACTGCAATAGTAACAAGCATGGTATTTATCTTGTATTGAAAATAAAACAAAGTTTTGATAATAATACTTTGCAGTTTGTCCTTTTTGTCTGTTTTATAATTTTCTAGCCATTGTGTATGGTTTTGAATAATATCTATTGACAATATGTGGGATAACAGAAAAGGAACTGTTGTCTGATACAGAGAGTGAATATTTTCTTCTGTACTGGCATTTAGATGCCCTTCAAAATAGATGATAATCTAGCTAAAATCATGATTAAGGACCCGAAAGGTTTTTAGATTTTATTCTTAAATCTAAGATTCAGAAAACATTTGTCTAGTCTTAGGGGACTTAACCTTACTAGACTTTTAATCAAGTAAAAATATTTGTAGATTACAGCAAAAAATATTTTAGCAGTTAGGTTGGAAACATTATAGCGTACTTTTTAAACAGTAACAGATTTGTTCTTCTCATGAATGTTTTGTGTGTCAGGTATTACCTCAAGCCCTATATTTCTCACCTGTAAGCTTCAGAGTATGTTGAAGGTAACTGTTGTAAATGATTGAAATAACCTTGTGAGAATAAATTAAAGTTAGCATCATTTGAGTCCATTGAAAATCTATTAAAATTGTTGTTCAGGTTTTATTAGGTTCCCTGTTACTCTTAGGTGTTGGCGTTTTAAAGAAGATTGCATTTATTGATCCCTGCTTGTGTTGAATTGAGACTTTTGTTACGGCCTGTAAGAGCAGAGAACATTTAATTAAGAAAAGGTTATTGGTAATATCTTTTGACCAAATGACACACAAAACTATAGGAATTGGACATGGCCTGATTTAGAGGAAGAAGGAGAAGCTTTTTTACAAAGGATTTATAGACAGTCTACCAAGTTTTTCCTAACTATTACCATGAAATTAGAGTTGTTTCCACTGAACTGGTTTCTATTGCAATATTGGGTCTTATCTCCCTTTAATATTTCGTTAACAGAGTTTCTGAATTTTTATTTGGCTCATCAGTTCTGATTACTGTACCACATAAGAGATACATGATTGATTGGAGTGTGATACTGGGTATTGAACCCAGAGTCTGGTACATGCTATTTTGTTTTGGAGATAGTGCCTCACCAACTTTGCCCAGACTAGTCTCAAACTTGAGATACTCCTGCCTAGGCCTCCCAACTAGTATGTGAAGTCATAGATGGGTACCACCATGTCCAGCCTAAGATATGCACATTCTTCACCTTTTTAAAATCCATATGCAGCCAAGTGTGTATGTTGCATGCCTGTAATCCCAGCACTTGGGAGGTTGTGGCACTAGGATCTAGAGTTTGAGGCCAGCTTGGGCTGCATATTCTGCTCCCCCCCGACAAAAAAAATCCATACTCAGTTTATAGGAAAACATTAGGAGATAGGAATTGATTCCTTAATGTAATGAGATCTGAAGAATTAAGACTTGGTGAAAAATGAAGGGAAGCACGTACCCTCTATGCAAAATGAGGCTTGCAAGAAAGACCTTTTGGCAAGAGGGCACATGTTAATAGGAATTTAAAGAATGCCAGTTTGGCCAAAGCCTAACAGGAGGAACATAGCCTGTATGAGGTCATCAGAAATAAGCCATACTCTCTAGGACATTAAAAGTTCTGAGTATGTTGTGGAATCATTGATGTGAGTATTGTCACATACTAGCATTTCAAAGCATCTTAGCTGCAGATAAAATTTGGAAAAGAGGTAAATTAGGCTAATGAAATGTGTGAGTCTTCCTTCAACAGTTAGAATAAGAGTAGAGGGAGAGAAAATGAAAGACATAGGAAGCAAGATCAACAGAATATAATAATTTGGATGTCACTGGAAGGTGAGAAATGGCCTAGAGTGTATGTAGTTACATGCCAATGACTGACATGGGGAACATCAGAAAAAGATTAGAACACTGACACTTGAGTGTAGGAGACTGGAGATCAGGGGAGCTAGATTGAAGGTATATGTGGGTTAAAAAAATAAAGGATTAGGAGACTGAATTTAGTGCCTTTGAGATCCAAGAAATAGCCATTTGGCTTTGGAGTTTTGAAGACTGGGTTAAAACTAATTTTGTAGCCTGAAATATGGCAGTTAAAATTATTAATAACTAAAAGAAGAAGCCATTTGAATGTGGGAAAGAGAACCTGAGCAGTATATATATATTGGTGGCACTGGGGTTTGATCTTGGCCTCATGCTTGCTAGGCAGGTACACTTAAACTTGAGCCACTTAACCAGCCCTTTTTTTGTAATGGGTTTTTTTAAGATGGGGTCTCAGAAACTATTTGCCCTGGGCTGGCTTTAAACCTTGATCTTCCTGACCTCTGCCTCCTGGGTATCTAGAATTATAGGTGTGAGCACTGGTATCCTACCATATATTTGGTTTGGGAAGCAAACTGAAGGTACTGAGATCAGTAGTATGAGGAAGTAGCTTTGGGTGGAAAGAGAAATACCCATTCCTCTCAGGAAAAACGTAGAATGTTGTGGGCTTATAGGTAGGTGGTAGACATTTTAAGGCCTTCATATTTAGTGTCCTATTTTCTTTGAATTAGAAATTGAGAACATTGTGGCATGGGTGTGACTTAGGTTTGGGAGAAGTAATATTGATCTATATGATTATTGGGACTTGGTGAGCGTATCCTAAGGGTAGACCCCATTTTTGTGGCAGTCTGCTTAAAACACATCTGTCTCCCAGGAGAGAGTAAATGAATCAAACGGGTGGAGAAGACAATAATTGTCATTCTTTTCAACTTAATGGCTGTCAAGTATTCAATACAATTGCCGGCTGCTGGTGGCTCATGCCTGTAATCATAGCTACTCAAGAAGCAGAGATTAGAAGGATCATGGTCTGAAGCCAGCCCAGGCAAATAGTTCCACGAGACCCTATCTCAAAAAAAACCCTTTATAAAAAAGGTCTGGTGGAGTGGCTCAAGGTGTAGGCCCTGAGTTCACGCCCCAGTACCTAAAAAAAAGAAAATACAATGACCCATGCCCTCCCTTGTTTTTTTTGAGGGGGGCATCTCAAGCTTAAAATGCAAAGACTGAACTCTTCTATGTCCTACCCTCCCCCATTACCTACTTTCCCCACAGTCTTCCTCTACAGCTAACATCTGTACTTTCATTTCATTTCCTTAGGCCCAAATCTGGAGATCACCCCTGACTTCTCACACCCCACATCCAATACATTAGAAAAGGCTTTTTCCTGCTGTCAGAATACAATATTCAGGACCAGTTGCTGTTCCCACTGCTTTCTGTCCTTCTCACCATACACAATCTATTTTTAGCAGAGGTATCCATATCTAAAATCCTGCAATGGCTCCCCAAGTAAAAGTTCAGTCCTTACTAGGTTCCTCAGTGATTTGGTCCTTCCAACTAGATAACCTGATAGCTCTCCTCATGCTTGGTCTATTTCAGCCATTTGGCTTTTTTGATTTCCAAACAGGCTAGGCATGTTCTTCCCTCCGTACCCTTGCATGGGACAGTTCCCTAGCCTGGAGTGTTGTGGATATCTGCACAAGTATCTCAGATTTGTTTTCACCGTTCTGTTGAAGAACAAGACTTCCTTCCTCCCTTTATTCACTTTTCTGAAGCATTTATTAAATAATGCAATATGGTTTCCTGTCCATTTGAATTTGAAGTGTGGAAGCAAGGATCATATTTTACTTTGAGTTAAATTCCATCATGCGACACGTTTAATATTTGCACAAATGAATGCCCTTTTCTACCACGTTCTCTTGTTAGCGTAAACTTCACTACAATGTTAAAAGCTGTCAGCATTTTTAAAATTACGAAATAGACATAGCGTCTGAGCTTGGTGATACGTACCTGTAATTTTCACATTCAGGAAGCTGAGGCAAAAAAATCAAGAGTTCAAGGCCAGCCTGGGCTACAAGCTAGACCCAGTCTAAAACAAAAATACATTTTAAAAAAGCTGTGTGTACTTAGTGGAATTGCTGTATCATACGGTATTTTCTGTGTTTAACATTTCAAGGAACATAAAGCTTCAGCACCTGTACCATTTTACATTCCCATCAGCAATGCATGAGGATTTTAGTTTCTGCACATCCTCACCAGGATATTTTTCCTTTCTGATAATAACCATCAGTTTTTCATTCTTTTTTGGCATTCTTGGGGTTTTGAATGCAAGACCTTGTGCTTGCTAGGCAGGTGCTCTACCACATGAGCCATGGCCCTTGCTCTTTTTGCTTTAGTTATTTTTCAGACAGAATCTCACATTTTACCCATGCTGGCTTTGACTGCCATCTGAGTAGCTGGGATGATAGATGTGTGGCCATCATGCCCAGCTTACTGGTTGATGGGGTATCACTAAACTTTTTGCCTGGGCTAGCCTCAACCTGCAATCCCATCTCCACCCCCACCCCCATCTTAGTATGAAATTGTATGTCATCAACAGCAATTTCAGAAGTGATTTATCTTTTGAGTTTTTCTAAAGTGTTTAACCAATTCTCTTTGCTTTCATATTTTACTGGGTATAAGATAACAGGAAAAGTTATATTGACAAGCTCAGAAGCAAATGCAACTCACTCTAAACATTAGGAGTAAATTCTTAGACCCCTGTGTTGAATGAATAAGTCAGCTTTAATAATGTAAGAATGCATAGGTAAGTTATGTGGGGACTTTTGGCTTTTAGAGTATTACTAGTATTCAGTGGCCTAAAAACTTGTTAAAGAAAGCACTCTACAGCCTGGCAACATTGGGGTCCCCTGGGCCAAATTCAGTCTGCATTTGAATAACATCTCCAGATCATTTTTGTGTACATTAAGGTTGACAAGTTGCATTGTTAGACTGTTTTTAGTGTCTACCTAATATTCCAGATTATACCATAATTTAAATGATTGTAATTGGAAATTCAAGTTATTTGGGCAGATTTTTGACTAATGTAATAAAGGATGCCACAGGGAATATCCTCGTAAAAAATCTTAGTGCAAACGTTTTCTAAAAATTCATTTTCTTGAAGTACTTGATTAAACACTTCAAGAAATTGCCCCATTTACCTTCACCAGTGCAGCTGTATGGGAAAATCCCTACTTCTCCACATTCTTTTGAGTGCTTTTCAAAATCTAATTTTTCCAGGCGAAAACTTATATTT